TTGCTGTGTGTGTATATGCTCTTGGGGGGGTATTTTAAGTTATGAGCAAAAAATTAAAAACAAAAACATGTTATGCCCTTGCTTATCCCTGAAAGAGGAGGTGACTGTACATGTATAATCTATATCAAATTGCTTGCTTTCTCAATGAGGTGGGGGAGGGAAGAAATTTGGAACTCAAATTTAAAAAAAAATGAATGTTAAAAATTGTTTCTGCATGTAATTGGGGAAATTTTAAATAAAAAATGAGGAAAATGTCTTTGCAGAAATAGGGAACCATACTGTGGATGGATCGGTGTGTATACTGTCAGACTCAGTTTACTGTGTTAATTTTTACCCTCTCCCTTTTCCCTTTTATACTTTGTTTAAAAGTATGTCTTTCTGGTCAGGGCAAGGGGGAAGGCATATATTGGGACATTAAGGTGATGATAGAAAAACAAAAGATAGCAATAAAAAATGTAAAATGGAACTAGTCCCAACAGAAAACTGGTAGATTAGGGGACTGCTATAGATAACATTTTATCAAAGGAATCTACAAAGTTTCTTATATTAGTCTTTATAAGATGGAGTGACGTGAGCAAGTATAGGTAGGTGCATTGGGAATGGGTGAATGGCCAGACCCCAGAACTAATCATATTAATGGTTTTGATATCATTTGGCTCTCAAAGGAATACTTCAAGAACCTGCACCTACACACATCCCATGAATTAGAGTCTTCCAAGAGTAGAATGGGCTACCATAGGAAACACTGAATTCATCATTCTTCAGGCCAGATGGCCAGTTCTCAGGGATGATGTACTCAGACATAAGGTTATCAGGCAGTTTCTAAACCTCCTTCTAACTTCATGTCTAAGATTCTTGTTCATCCTGCTTTCCTTTCCCCATTTCTATAGCACTGTATTCTCCTCATTTGGATCTACTTTGATGAACTCTTTTCTTCTATGTATCACAACACAGGGCTCAATTCTTCATCTGCTGCCCTTCTCCACCCTCCCTCATCCATACTCATTCCAATTCATACCTCTCCATGTAGACAAGTCCAAAGCTATTACTATCAACCTTTGCCTCTCAAAAAGGATAGTATTTGTGAAAAGTTTAGCATAGTAGGCACTACATCAATGTCTATGTCCTTTCCTTCCTTCCTTTACCACATCTAAAGGCAAGAACCTAGAACTTATTTCATCTTAACACCAAAAAAAAAAAAAAAAAAAAAGCAAATATTTTTCAGGATACCTTCTCAAGAATAGGTGTTGGCTCCTTAACTGATCAAGTATAAACTCATTATAGAATTCAAAGTTCTCTATTTTATCTGTTCTTCCAATACCTAATTAGTCTTATCTTGGTATTCAATCATCACAGCCTGACCTTTACTATCACTAAGGCACACCTAGTTTGCTTCTCCAAGCCTTGGTTCCTAGAGTATCCTCCCAACCAATTTCCATTATTTTTTTCCAAGGTCTCACTCTGGCTTCTCCTCCAAGAAGTGTTCCCAAACTAATCTCAACTCACAATAATGGTTTTGCTTTGTGCTCCATAGAATTTAATAACAGAAATTCTCTATTTTCCATCACTTATTTCCTCTACTTGTTTCTTTTATCTTGAATCCCCAAGAAACTAAGGCTGTTGTCATTACTTTGGGCAAAATTAAGGCGCAGAAAGGATGACTTACCCAATATTATACAGCAACATGAAGAACTAGAACCAAGGTTTTCCCTAAATAGACTATAAGCTCCATGAGCACAAGGACTGGTCTGATCAACCTGAAAAGTCCCCAAAGTAACCCCTTACATATAAGTGCTTAATAAATCTTTGTCTGATTCCTGGTTCCTGGTTCAGGGGCCTGCCTATCCAATAAGCCTCACTGTCTCATAGGAGCTAGGTCTTAACTAGGAAAGCTGATTGCAGTTACCACCACAATAAAAATAGCCCTAACCACAGCTATAAAGAAGCTTCAGGCAAAGACACTTTTTGATTCTATTCCCACGTGAGAGAACTTAACTAAATGCACTGATAGCCATTGATGGTCATCCATAAAAAGCTCTCCCATCTCACCCTTCTCCATACTTCTTGTTCTTCCCCATGGAGCAGTAAAAGAGACAACTTCAAAAATAGATCCTTGAAGGACTGGGCATTCAGAAATCTTTTCCTTCTCCTTGTTTTAACTCTCTGGCCTAAGTTTTTTTTTCTTTTTTAACATATAAAAAATCCATTACTTGGAGAGGAGTGAAGGGGAGAAGCCCTAAATCAGAAATAGCCAATGAGCCTTAATTTTAAATTTCTTTTTTAAAAAAATCCATATTTGAACTACAACGAAGCCTGGAAGAAATCCAACCTGAAGGATAGTTTTCCAAATACAAAGAAGTCCTGGCAGGGCAAGAGAGGGCAGGAAAGAGTCTTGCTTATTATAACCCTCACTGGTGTCAGCTCCTACGTATGCAGTCCCACTTACTTAATTAGGCCTGAATGAGGAAGGAAAGGGAGAAGGTTCCAGGCCAATAAATATTTTAATAAAAATTATAGCTATGGCCCTTCAATCCCAGTGCTCTTCTTTTAGGCAAACGATTGTCTTGACTATCACTGTCTGGAAAATGAGAAAGGAGCAGGGGGAAACCTTGAAAAGGTAATGAAACATTCTTGCTGGTTGTCAGGCTTTGTTGTTTCTTTTTTAAAACCATTGCCAGGTTCAAAAAACAATAAAATCTTATAGGTTGCCCCAATTATGACAACAGCTCTAGTCCCTGAGCCAAAGTAGTAATGAGACCAGAAAAGTGTTCCAAGGGAAAGTCAGTAACAGTGCCTTAACAAAGAAAAATGTGAGGAACACTTAGTTATCCATTATCTCTGGGATTGTGGGAGTAGGAGAGGGGGGGAAAGACAGGCCACTGCCCCTCCCCCCTCCACTTAGAAACCAGTGTTGGGATGACATTAGCTTTACCAGGAAAATAGTGGGAAATCCCTCATACATGAAACCTCAATAACCTCCATTTTTTGAAATTCCTCCTCCTCTTCTCTAATCAGAGAGATATGTAGGCTAGGAAACAACATCTAAGTGACTACTACATGCCTGTCACACTGCTAGGTGCTGGAGACATAAATACAAAAATGAAACTGTCCCTGGCTTCAGGAACTCATAGTCTTTCAGAGAAGATAGTAAGTACATGCAAAATAAATATGTAATTGGAGGGGCAAAAAAAAACAGAAAAGGCTTCATGAAGAAAGCAGTGCTTGAACTGAGGTTGGAAGGAAACAAGGAACTAACTCTAAAAAGCAGAGGCAAGGAGGGAGTGTGTTCTAGGCTGGGGGGCGGGGAGCAAGTGCAAAGGGATAAAGACAAGAGGTCAGGATGGCCAGACTGCAGAGTGCAAGAAACGGAGGAATATATCACAAAGTTGTAAAGATAGGTTGGGACAAGGTTGCAAGGGGCTTTAAAAACCAAACAGAAGAGTTTATACTTGATCCTAAAGTCAATAGGGAGATCCCAGAGTATACCAAATTGGGAAATAACATGGTCAGACATCCACGTGTAGAAGATAGGGCAGAAAAAGACTTGAAGCAGGGAAACCAATTAGAAGGCTACTTCCATACTCCAAGCAAGAGGTAATGAGAGCTGGAACTAGGGTGGGATCATGCGAGTAGAGAAGGGCATGAAAGATGTTGTGGAAACAGAAACAATAAGCTCTGACAACTGACACAATGGGGTCAAAGAATGAGGAGTCAAGTCCCAAGTTCATGGCTGGAACCTGGGAAACGAAAAGGATGGTGGTGCCCCTGACAGAAATAGGCAGGTTCAGAAGAAAAGTTCAGCATGAGGAGAAAGGTGTTCTGTTTTGGTATGTGGAGTTTGAGATGTCTATAGAACATCTAGTTCAAAAATTCCAATAGGCAGTTGGAGATAGAGATGATGGAGATGGGAGTTACCAAAGACAGACACAGGAAAAGTAGAGATAGGATCCAATGAACAATATTCTAAAATTGTACAGGGGAAATCAGCCCAAAAAGAGAACCACTGCTCTCCAGAGTAAAATTCTTAGAACACAAGATCAAACAATTCTGATGGGAAGGCTAAAATGAAAGAACTACACAAAAATGCTGAGACTGGTATACAACATCAATGGAGACTGTGCAGAGACATATAGAAGACAAATATAGGATCAGGCAATGGAGGGTAGATACGGAAGTGTGGCACAATCCTTTAAGAATACTGTTGAAAGCACTATAGCTAAGAATAAGCTGACATTAGCAAGAAAAATTTAAATCCAGAAAAGGGCTATATTTTTAAGCTATAATAGGGAAAAGGAGATCAGAGAAGGGATAGGACAATAATGGGATGGCAAATGTAACATGAGCAAGGGAAAACTGATACCCACACAACATGAAGAGAACAAGAAGAAGGGTCCCAGAATGCTGGATATACCCTCCCCTTGGCTGGGGGGAAACACAAATAGTAAAGGGAGATATGGACAAGAATAACACAAGATGAGAAGAGATGGATGTTTTGTTTTGCTTTTTTTCTAAACACCTATGAATGGAATATCTTCACCAATGAGATCACATCTGAAGTATAAGTTTCTCTATCAAGAAGAATAATCTCTGAATCAAAAAGGACAAAATAATAACAAAGAACAGAATAAAAATGGCTAGTAGAGAGTTGAAACCCAAGATACATAAACAGATGAGAGCACAAACCTGCACTTCACAAAATCAAGGCACCAGAACAAGACAAGTCATATCACAGGATAAACAACTACTAGCACCATTGACTATCTATTAAGTGCCAGGTGCTAGATTTGTAAGCACAGTAGATAGAGTGCCAGGCCTGGAGTCAGGAAGACTCATCTTCCTGAGTTCAAATCTGGCTTCAGACACTGTGTGACTCTGGGCAAGTCACTTCACTCTGTTTGCCTCAGTTTCCTCATCTGTAAACTGAGCTGCAGAAGGAAATGGCAAACCACTCCAATATCTTTCCCAAGAAAACCCAAACGGGATCCCAAAGAGTCAGAAACAGCTTAAAAACTACTGAACCAAACATATAAAATTGGAACTATACAAAGAAGATTAGTTTGGACCACGAGCGTAGATGATATGAAAATTTGTGAAGTGTTCCATATTTTTTCTAGTAAGGTCTGGATCCAAACCCATTTATTTTTTGCCATTAAACTAATTTTTCCAAGAATTTATGATCCCATCATCCAGTGTTTTTAAAACATGTTTCCCCTTTACTTTTAAGTTTTTGTTGAAAATCTGGACAAGTATCAGAATTCTGATTGTGTGAAAATCACTTTTCTCTCTGAGCCTCAATTTTCTCCTCTATAAAGTGGTGAAGTTGAAATAAGATAATATATGTAAACCGTTTTGAAAATATACACACACACATGCATATATATATATATATAGATGTGCCAGGCCTTGCACATACAAAAACAAAAAAGAATGCTCTCAAGGAACTTACATTCTGTAGAAGGTAAATACAAATAAGCAAATATTCTCTTATGCTAAAGATGACCAAGTGAACAGGAGTAGAACAGCCCAGCTCTTATACAAGTACCTCAGCAAAGAGCAAAAGAGAGCATCAGACAAATACGATCAAGAAATCCGAACACAAACTAAAGCTTCACCCAACCCAGATCCACACAGGGGGCAGCCCGAAGTCTGCATGTATAAAGGAAGGAGTCCAGCCAGGAAAGCTGAGGAGAGCAGAGTGTTCAGAAGTCTTCCAGCCCAAACATAGAACACTTCAAGGATGCCCAGATCCTGAAGCACTATGTAGCAGAGAGAAAGAGGGCCAGCAGAGCTCCAAAGTTTCCCCAGGGCAGTTACAATGTTCTGACCCACAAGAAGTTGACTGGAAGTGAAAGCCAACAGCAACAGCTAACAGAGATCAGGACCAAATAGGGTCCCCCAACATCCTATCCAAGAGGGCTGGACATGTCACTAACACAAAATCCTAATTCGGGCTTGAAATATTAGTAAACAGAAGACAATAAATTATTATGGATCAGACCATAATAATTGGTGTTTGTCAAGAACAAAAAATAAAAATAAATTTTAAAAAGAAAAAATAATTAAATTTTAGATAATTTCTTAAGGGGGAATAGGAAAATCAGGAAAGGCCTGAAAGTCACTAGGTAGTCTGACAGGTGAAAGTGAGGAGGAAATACATTTCAGATGACCTGTGCAAAGATAGAGGGGCAGAAGATGGATTCTCTGGAACTGAGAACAAGTACACTAGTTTGGCTGGACAGTAAAATAGGTTGAGGGAAGCATTGGGTAATAAGCCTGGAACGAGATTGCGAAGGGCTGTAAGTGTCAAGCAGAATAGTTAGGATTGATACTAGAAGCAGCAGAGAGTCCCTAAAGGTCTTGAATAGCAAGGGTTATACAGCTCAGTGACTACTCTTGCGCTTTTGGAATATCACTTTGGCAGCTGCAAAGAAGATGGAATGGAGAGGGGAGAAGGAAGACCAATTAAGAGACCCTTGCAATTATCCGGGTGAGGCGATGAGGGCATGAATTATGAATGGAGATAGAGAACGGATACTAGAGATGTGATAGAGGCCAAGGATTAACAACACTTGGGAACTGAATGTGAATGGGGGCAAGGGGAGTGGACAGGAGAGTGAAAGGTCAAGAGGAACTCAATAACAAGTTCAGTTTTGGACATGCTGAGTTTGAGACAGTTATGGAACATTCAGTTCAAAATATGCAATATGCTGTGAGTGGTATAGGATGGAATTCGGGAGAAAGACCCTTAGGGTTAGATATCTAGATCTGGGCATATCTGCATAGAGATGATAATTGTCTCTGGCTCCCTTGGTTTCAATGATATGATAAAGGAAGAGAAGTGGGACTAGGACACAGCCTTGGTCCCGCTGGTGGGGAGGGAGAAGAAGAAGGAGGGAAGCAAGGAGGGGAAACTGATGATGGATGATCAAGCAATTCAGACTGAGGAATAGACATGAGTAGAACCAAGAAAGTAGTGTCATGAAAACCCAGAGAGGAGAAAGTAATCAGTAATAATGGGTGGTCAACAGTGTCAAATGCTGCAGAGAAGTCAAGAAGGATGAGGACTGGCCTCTAGAAAAGGCCACTAGATCTGACAATTAAGAGGCCACCGCAACTTTGGAAAGATCAGTTTCAACCGAGCAATGAAATCAAAAGTCATATTGTTAGGTGTGAAGAAATGAATGCAAGCTGAGAAGGTAAAGGCAAGTGCCATCATAGTTGAAGCAGGACAGCTTCAACTATGAAAGGAAGAAGAAAGAAAACTGTAGTTCGGGGGGAGAGTGGAGCCAAGTAAAGGTTTTTTTCAGGATGATGAGGCATGTTTGTAGGTAGCCTGGAAGAAGCCAGTAGATGAGAAAGAATTCTGGGAGTAGTCTTCTGGAGGAGACAGGGATGGTATCGAAGGTATAACTAGAAGAGCAGACACCCTGATGATAAGGGTGACTTTTCAAAAACTGAAATAAAAAAGGAGAGAATGAAGATTAATATCAAAGGATTTGGAGATAAGGTATGAGAGAAGAGCCAACCCCATACTGAATCAGTTGCCAAGTCTAATCAATCTCACCTCCTTAACATCTTCAATATCCATACCCTAACTCTATACTCACACCACTGAGGCTCCCATCACTTTTCACCTGGACTATAGTTAACAGCCCCATAATTGATATTCTGCCTTCAGTCTCTTCTTCTCCAATCCATCTTCCACAGAGCAGTCAAGATCTTATTCCTAAATAGAGGTCTAACCACTGCCTTCACCTGCTCCTCAAGAAGGTCCAATGGCTCCCTGCTATGTGTAGGATCAACTATAATGCCTGGCATCATACTCCTCATAGTCTAGCTCCAGGATTATATGTTGCTCTATCTCACACACCATATGTCCTAAGCAAAATGACCTCTTTTTTGTTCCCTAGACCCAAGAGTAGATTTCCATTTTTCACTGTGCCTAGGTATACATAGGCTGCTCCCAAGGCCTAGAATGCAGGCCTTCCATCCCTCCAGCCAAAGTTACCACCAGCCAAGGGTCAGCTTAAGGGTCATCTCCTTCAAAAGGTTTTTTGTGATTCCCAAGTTGTGGGCCAAGCCCCCTCCCCTTATATACACAAACACACCCATCCTTATTTACTTACTAGTGATCTCCACAGAAGGACAATAAGCTCCCTGAGGGCAGGAATAACTTAACTTCTGTATTTGTATTTCTAGGGCCAAGTGACATATAGTAGGTCTATAGATCAATCAATACACATTTATGAAGCATATCAAGTGGCAAGCTGGGAGATAAGAGAAGAGGAGAAGAGAGGAGAAGAGAGGAGAAGACAGAAGAGAACATTCCAGTCATGGGGGACAGTCAGAGAAAATGCATGGAGCTGAGAGATGGATTATCTTCCGGGAATAGCCAGGAGGCCAATAGCACTAGATTGAAGAGTATATATCAGAAAGCAAAGTGTAAGAACACTGGAAAGGTATGAAGGGCTTTGAGTAACAAACAGCATTCTGCTCCAGGAGGTACAGAAAAAGCCGCTGCTGTTTAATGAGTAGGGAGGTGGGGGTGGGGGGTGACTTGGTCAGATCTGTGCTTTAGGAAAATCACTTGAATGAGTTGAGGATGGGCTGCAGAGGGGAGAGACTTGAGGCAGGCATACTCACCAACAGGCTGTTGCAATAGTCCTGGTGTGAGACAGTCTGCACTAGTGGTGAAGTGTCAGAGTAGGTGCTTACTGAGGGGGAAAAAAAGACCAAAGTATGAAAGGAGATCCTATGAGGGTGGAGGGTCCATTATGCCTTTCTTAATGCATTGTAATTGCTCAACGATCACAGCATAAACTCAGTGATCTTTGAAAAATCTTGGAAAGAGATGCTGCAGTACTTGAGAAGGGCAAAGGTACTGATTTTCACAAAAAGAGTGTAGAGTCTGCAACCAATGCTCTGGTGTGCTTGACTGGTAAAATTTTAGAGTATTAGTAAACACTTCTTTTTTTGACGTTCCCTAAACTGGTAGATCAGAGAACTATTTTAATTATGGCTTACCTGGATTTCTGCAAAATCTCTTGTGCTGGCCCTGGACAATACAGGTTGGACAACAGCACAGTTGGGTAGATTTGGAATCAACTAAATGGCCAGGTGTAAAAGAATAACCATTGGTCTGATTTCAACTGAGAGCACATCTGAGGAACACCTCCTCAGTCCTGTGTGGTTTAATATTAATCACATGGACAAAGGCATAGATGTCATAATTTTCAAACCCGCTAATGTGTTAGATGACTAGTCATAAACCAAAACGATCAACAAATTATAAGGCTGGGCCGAATCTAACAGGTTGAGATTTATTAGGGATAAATGCTAAGTGCAGACTAAAGCCACATCTATCATATCCATTCCCTTCTCTCCAGATAAGCCTTTTAACTTTTTTTGGCTGTTGTAGATAAGAGTTTACCTAGATTTTTAACAAGTATCTCACACTACTTTTACAAAAAGGGTAAAGATGAGGATGAGATGATAGTAAAATTAGATAGGTTTGGAAATGATAGAATGGCCAGACTGAAAATAGTTCCATGTTAATTTGGAAAGAGGTAGCTAATGGAATGCCCCCAAGGATCTGTGCTGCTATCCCTGCTGAATATTTTTTATCAAAGAATTAGAAAAAGGCAAAAATGGCAAGCTTCTGAAATGTGCAGATGACAAAAAGCTATGTAGGAAAGCTAACACATTAGATAAGAGGATCCCAAAAGGTCTCAACAAAGTACTGAATCTAATAAGAAAAAAATTCATAGGGAGAAATCTCCAAAAATCTGTCTTCACAAGGACAAGGTAGGGTAGCATGGTTAGACAGTGATTTGTCTGAAAAATATCTAGAGGTTTTAGTTAGCTGTAAGTTCAATGTGAGTCACCAGTGTGATATTACTGCCAAAAAAAGTAAATGCCATCTTGGGCTGCATGAAGAGGCATCGCTTCCACAAATAAGGAGGTGACAGTCCCACTGTACTCTATTCTGGTCAAGCCACATCTAGAGAACTGTGTTCAGTTCTGGGCATATTTCTAAGAAAGGTACTGATAAGCTTGAGCTGCTTGGTGCACCCGGGTTACACAATGGATAGGGCATTGGGCCTGAAGTC